TGCCAAGTCTGAAGACCCCTCGTTTAGATTAAGGAGACGGGGATGGCATTTCAATTGCCTGACCTACAGTGAGGGTGTCTGGAATGGGGACCTTTGTAAGGGGCATCACACATCCCATGACCTCATTACACAATTGATATCATCCTGGCTCCAGTGGAAGTCTTTTCTCCAGAGATCACTCTTTTCCAACGGGATTCTAATTCCCATAATCCACTGCCGATGGCTATGGGTTGAAGGGCCTGCAGTCTCACCATATCCAAAAAGGGAGGAGTTGGGGAAGAAGCTGGCTTCACACCGTCATGTTAAACTGCCCCATGGTTTGATTTTGGCACAGATGTTGTACAAGCCCAAAAACTCTGTGCGTCTCTTGGTGATGGTGGTAGTAGATGTCAGTCAAGCAAACCATGGTTTACTGCAATATGTGAACTAAACCAGGCCCTAGATGGAGCATTTGAAAAGCAAAAGACTTGGTGCTTGAGTTGAAAAAAATGGAAACTTGGATTTTGGATTTTGCCAATCAGATAGGTTTGTTGTTGTAGAAATGGCTAGTTTATACAACTGTGTAAAAATAAAAAGTTGAGGTTTGATGCTACGGTATTATCTTATTCTACTGCACCGAAGGGTGTTGGAGGTCAATGCCTTTTCTTTCTCCCCCCCCCTTTTTTCCTTCCCCTTTTCCTTTTCTCTTCCCTATTTTTTCCTACTATTTTCCCTTGTCTTTTTGTATTTTATATTATAAATTAATTTTAAAAAATTTAAAAGGGAAGCAATTCAATCCGTCAATACTGTATGTTTATTTCTCGTAGTTTTGGCAGCTGTATCCTTGGCAGAGAACATTCATTCTGCATTAGTAAAGAACCTGCATTCCCCCCCCCCCGTGTGTGTGTGTGTGTGTGTGTGTGTGTGTGTGTGTGTGTGTTTCTCCAGCTACCTCCTGAAACGCTTGGCAGGAAGAGCCAGTGACACCCATGACCTCAGCATAGCTGTGGGGATCTGGCTGCTTTCGCGGAGAACAAAACAACCGATTCACAGGTTGCGTTCGCCACTCCTGCACTTTCTTCTAAAAAGGCCAGGTTGTTTTATGGCAGAGTTTAAACCTCCAAAAGAATCTCGTGCTTTCGTCCTTCCCTCCACCACCCCCAACCCCCCACTTCCCCAGACTCCCTTCATTGATTGACCTCATAACCAAGAGATTCTCCCGTGCCCAATATGGGGCAGGAATTAACGTTTTCGCTCCGATTCACCCCGACGAATCTTTGGGGGTGAAGTGGGTGCCCGCCTGCTGTGTCGAATGGAATGCAGCTGCTGAGTGTTGGCATAACTTTTGGAATTAGGAAGCTTGCGTCTCTGCTCCAGCTTTTAATTGTGGAGGATAAACAGGGCATTAACAAAAAGCTTTGATTGCAGTGAGTTGCGGAAGGCACCGTACATCGGAATGTAGATTTATCACAACGTGCCTCTGTTTCAGAGTCCTGCAGCGTGCAGAGATGGTGTCCCTGGCTTGGCTGCATTGGCCAAACGGTTATAGGAATGCATCAGATTCATACTTGTGGTTTCCACCCAGCAAGTGGTCCACGAAGGCCTGTCTGTACACGTTGATATTTTTAGCTTGGCTCGGAGAGGGTGGGAAGAGAGTGGCTATACACGCACGGCACATTTACCCCTGCTTAACTGTGATTTATCCAGTTAACTAACGCTATTTCCCACCTGTGCTTTCAAGTTGCTCAAAAGTTTCCTTTCCTTGGGAAAAAACAGGCTTCTGTTTTTCTGCTGTTCTCAAAAAAGCTTTAACAAGGCTTTTGTGTACTACAAACGTGCTAGGAAGGTGCTGCTTTCCATGATGCCCCTTTCTTTTTGGACTCTGTCCGGCTGCCCCCTCTGCCCCCACAGCCTCAATTTCTTTTCTTGAAATTTAAAAAAACGCCAGGGAAACGGCAGGCTTTTGGCGTGATCACAGCACCAGGATAGTTGAGGCAACAGAAGACACCTCACCTCTCTTGGTATTAACCCTATCTAGCACAACATCACCTCTCCTTGAAAACTTTCCCTGCAGTTTCTCTTTTCTAGATTTTTTTTAAAAAATTCTCTTTTTTATGACATAAGACTGTCCATGGGTAGGAAAACCCGCCCAGCCACGAAGGTTTCGCTGCAGTTTCTCTTCTCTAAAAGTTTGAAGCAAATTCTCTCGCTTCACTTTAAAACAGTGGTTCTCAACCTGTGGCTCGGGACCCCATTTGGGGTCGATCGACCATTTCACGGGGGTCGCCAAGCAAGGCTGTCTGCCATTTTTTTTGTCCGCCATTTTTCCCCCTTTTCCGGCGGGTGCCTTACCTCCCTTGGGCTGGGCCAGCTGGTGGTCGGCCTGCTCCATCTCTGCCGCTTGCCAGCTACGCCTCGGCCGGCGCAGGGGGCGGAACCACGCATGCACGGCGCTCCCGGGAAAGTCCTCGACTTACGACCGGTTGGGTAGTCCTCGACTTACGACCGGTTTAGTCCTCAACTTACGACCGGTTTAGTCCTCGACTTACGACCGGTTGGGGTCGCAGCATTAAAAAGGTTGAGAACCACTGCTTTAAAATGTAGTGAACTTGGTATTCTGAGTATGGGGGACATGCTGAACTGTAACTTAATTGTACTCTGCGTGCATTAGGATTCTTTGCCAAACGTGGTTGGGTTAGCTCTTGGTTAAATGTGGCTGTGTTCAGTGACAAAACAAAATTGTGAAAATGCAGGCGCCCGGCCTTAACTGCCACGTCTGTTGAAAGCGACGGATAAGGCCAAAGCCAATCATGAATGCCCACTCTTATTTTTCTCTCTCCCAAGCGCCAGGCTTTGGGGAACGGGCAAATACTTTTATCCAAAGGTTTGAGCTGGTGGCCTTTTTGCTTTAAAAACCATTTTATATTTTAGTCTGTGCCTCGGTCTCAGGGGGTCCCCAAACCCAGCAGCGGTCCACGGCACGCCAGAAACCGACTAGAAGACCTTTAAGGTCCCTTCCAACTCGGCTACCCTGCACTGTTTATCCTCTGTGATAAATACTCTGCCTCCAGCTCAGTTGTTTTTTCAGACTCGGCCGTTTTAAGGCGGGAGGACTTCGAGTCCCGGAATTCCTCAGCCATCGTGAATTCTGGGAGTTGGTCCACGCATCTTAAAGATGCCAAGTTTGGGGGGAAAAAACACTGAGAAATTCGAACTTGGTAATTCAGGGGTCTCCAACCTTTTGGCAACTTTACGCCTTGTGGACTTCAACTCCCAGAATTCCTCAGCCAGCCCTCAGGGCTGGCTGAGGAATTCTGGGAGTTGAAGTCCACAAGGCGTAAAGTTGCCAAAAGGTTGGAGACCCCTGTGGTAATTGACTTCTTTCTTCCGCGGAGGCAGGAGAGGTTTTGCCCGTGGATGGGGCTCAGAGAGGGCAGCATGACCCCTCAGCCAGTTACCTCCTTGCTTCTTCAGCTGGGCCTCTTGGCTTCCTTCCATTGAACTGCAGGGTCTCCCCCCTTTCGCTCAGCTCCTCCCTTGACCCGAGCTGAAAGGTGTCCATCATGCCACTTGCGGGTGGCGTCATCAGCCTTGAAGTAGCCTGCCGTGTGCAGGAGAACAAAACAGCCTCCTGCTGAGGTTTGGAAGGGCTCCGGACAGGCTGGGTGGCACACCGCCAGCGTTAGTTGCACGGAGCAAATTCCAGACCTTTGTGCCGAGCCTAGAAACTCTGAGGCAAGGAAGGGCCTCTTCTCCGAAAGGGGGTACCCGAAAGAGTGAAATCGGGTGCTTGTAAAGAGCTCGTTTGTATTTAAGAAACATCAGCGCCCCACTTTCTGCGTGACAATGGGCAAGGGCGGCTGGTAAACAAAATGGGCGTTCAAAACCTGCCAGCGGAGGATTATTATGGAAGCAAACAGCTAAGAATTGGCCAAATGCAGCCAGTCCGTCAGCTGTCTCATCTCAGTAAGGTAGCAAAGTATCCCCAAGTTGTGTGAGACAAACATTTGGCGTAATTGGAACGGTTTTTGTCTTTTGCTTCAAATAATTATTGTCTAGGTCAGGGGTAGGCAACCTCGGCTCTTTTATGACTCGTGGACTTCAACTCCCAGAATTCCTGAGCCAGCATGGGGGAACTATGGCCCCCTCATGACTCGTGGACTTCAACTCCCAGAATTCCTGAGCCAGCATGGGGGAACTATGGCCCCTCATGACTCGTGGACTTCAACTCCCAGAATTCCTGAGCCAGCATGGGGGAACTATGGCCCCCTCATGACTCGTGGACTTCAACTCCCAGAATTCCTGAGCCAGCATGGCTCAGCTTGGAAACCTCTCTCTTTCCCCTCAGCATGGCTGGCTCAGGAATTCTGGGAGTTGAAGTCCACCAGTCATAAAAGAGCCAAGGTGGCCTATCCCTGTCCTAAGTCCTCCTGTTCTAAGCGGTGAGCCTCCTAGACCAGGAGTAGGCAACCTTGGCCCCTTCATGACTCGTGGACTTCAACTCCCAGAATTCCTGAGCCAGCATGAAGGAAACTTTGGCCCCTTCATGACTCGTGGACTTCAACTCCCAGAATTCCTGAGCCAGCATGAAGGAAACTTTGGCCTCTTCATGACTCGTGGACTTCAACTCCCAGAATTCCTGAGCCAGCATGGCTCAGCTTGGAAACCTCTCCCTTTCCCCTCAGCATGGCTGGCTCAGGAATTCTGGCAGTTGAAGTCCATGCGTCATAAAAGAGCCAAGGTGGCCTACCCCTGGTCTAGGCTGTAAGTGGTTTTCATGCATAGATTTGCGTTCCACCTTTCCTTCGATCCCCCCCAAAAATCCTTCTTCCGGGTGTCCCTTAAGAACCCAGGGAGGTAGTCACCCCCCATCCATGGCTTTGGAAAAATTGGGGAGGCCTCAGGAAGCCTTGGCTGCTTTCCTCTTGTGATGGGAGGGGAACGATGGCAGTCTTGGCCCCATTTTTCCCCCGACTCTGCCGTTGGGTGCTGAGCGTTGGGAGGGCTCCTTCTCTTTCCAGGGAAATCCCATATGGCCATTGTGCAGAAGGTGAACAACGAAGGGGAAGGGGACCCGTTCTACGAGGCCATGGGGTTGGTGACCCTGGAAGACGTCATTGAAGAGATCATAAAGTCGGAGATCATGGATGAGTCAGACGACTACAGTAAGTGGGTTCCAACACAGGTATGGCCTGTTTAAGGCGTCTTCTCTTCTGCTCCTGACTCCCCTTATTTTTCTTAGCCCAACTAAGTTCACTTGGCTAGATTGACAGGTATCTGCTTTCGACAGCTCTGAAGGCCATCATCCCAACCCGAGAGCAGAGGAGCGATGGCAGGGGCCAGAACGAGGGAACAAAGAAACTTCCGGGCATACGGTGACCTCAGCCATTTTAAGACGTGTGGACATTAACCCCAGCATGCTGGCTGGGGAATTCTGGGAGCTGAAGTCCACACATCTTAAAAAGGCTGAGGTTGAGAAACCCTTGAGTTATTTCGGGGATTTAGCAAGCAGTCTTCACGCAAAGCTCCATTTCAGGCTTTCCTCCCCAATTACTACCAAGTTTATTGCCCAGTTTAGCACACCAAGTGCCTGGGAATTTAAGACAGGTTATTTATTCTACTACAAAGTCCATGAAAGCTTCCATTTCTGCAGCAAAGGTCAAGAACCAAATGCCTTCTAGATGTTTTGGGCTTCAGGACTCTTCAGGAAGCTTGTAGGAGTTGTTGGAAACGTCTGTCTGTCTGTCTGTCTGTCTGTCTATCTATCTACCTACCTACCTACCTACCAACCTACTTATCTATCTATCTATCTATCTATCTATCTATCTATCTATCTATCTATCTATCTATCTATCTATCTATCTATCTATCTATCATCTATCTATCATCTATCTATCTATCTATCTCCATCCATATCTATCTATCTATCTATCTATCTATCTATCTATCTATCTATCTATCTATCATCTATCTATCTATCTATCTATCTATCTATCTATCTATCTATCTATCTATCTATCTATCTATCTATCTATCTAATCTACCTACCTACCTACCAACCAACCAACCTACCTACTTGTCTGTCTGTCTGTCTGTCTGTCTGTCTGTAGATTACATGTAGAAATGTAATAAGAGTATAAAAGGAAACATTTGAGAGATATGAACCTGGCACCCTTCTTCTGCAGTTTAGTCTTATGTTTACTGGAGTTAGCTTTACATCCTCAAAGCTTGAAAGCATTGTTCATAATTCAGATCTCCCTCAGAATTGCTTCTTGACTGAGGGGGTCTGATGATGTTACCTAGTTTGGGTAATAGTCTATGGAGATTCTCAGTCATCCAGGTCCTGGTTGTCCCAAAGGTGCTTTTTCAACAGGCAACTGGACTTTCTTTATTTTTTCTGGACGACGTTTCACTTCTCATCCAAGACGCTTCTTCAGAACATTCAATTCTTGGATGAGAAGCAAAAAGTTTTTGAGGAAAATAAAGTCCAGTTGCCTCTTTAAAAAGCACCTTTGGGATAGTTTGGATAATGAAAGGTCTGCAAGAAAACCAGCAAGCCCCGAGAGCACCAAGGACGTCTAATTTCCATCCTGAGCTACAAATATTCTCCTTCATTGTTTCTTGACTCCTCACCTCCAAAGTTGTGTAGCTTACTGAAAGAGACAAAAGTAATTTTTTTTCTACCAGATGTCTGTGTAAAAGCATACTTGCGTAGCTGACTTTTCAGAACATTTTTAATGATCGTAGGTCGAGGGGAAAATGATGCATGGGACATTTTAGATTTAGTTTTTTTTCTATAACCCTTTTTATCTGCTTTTGGGGTGTTTAAAGAAATGGGATTTTAGTTGAATCAGCATCCTCTAAACTGGATCTCGCCCTCTAAGCAGAGATGGGTAACCTCTGGTCTGCCAGGTGTTAAGATACAGATGCCAGTATGGCCAGTGGTGAGGATGTGGAGAACGCTAGGTCAGCAACAACATCTGGAAAATCATCTCCAGTGATTTTATTCTGCTGAAATTTGGCCTTTTGAAATTCCTTTCTTGTGTTCCTTGGACCAGAATCTCGGAGGGGGGGGGTTAAAATGATACCAGGACGCAAAATTGAAGGCTGTGCCCGTAACGATGTCCTGTGATTGTCCTGCCTTTGCACGGAATTGTGCAGACGTCCATCACACTTGTGCAGTTTGATTCCTCTCGCTCTCTCTTCACCTCCTCCAAACTGCAGGGGAGAACCGGTTGAAGAAAAAGCCACCTCCACTTGGAACGTTGATGGACCGCCGGAAAGAAGATTTTTCCTTGTTCAAAGTTTCCGACAATGAGTACAAGGTGAAGATCTCCCCTCAGCTACTCCTGGCTACTCAGCGCTTCTTATCTAGAGGTAAGACCAGGAAAGAAGCATGTCTTATTGTGGAATCATCATCATCATCATCATCATCATCATCATCATCATCATTATTATTATTATTATTAATTTGGATCTTGCCTTTATTATTTTTTCAAATAACTCAAGGTGGAGAACATATCTGACACAGTATCCTCCTCCCCTTTTCCCCACAACGACAACCCTGTGAGGTGGGTTGGGCTGCGAGAGGGACTGGCTTTCGTGGCTAAGGCAGGATTTGATCTCATGGTTTCCCACTTGCTAATCTGGTCCCTCAACCTCTGGGCCAAACCGACTTATAGAATTGGGAGGGATGTGGGAGGTCCTCCAGTCCAATCCCAGCTTATCTTTTCTATTTCTTTCTTGTTTTCTACCAGGGCAACCTAGAAAAAAAATAGAAAAGACCCCTCAGAGTCCTCGCTGGATTTTTGCTATGGCTGGTTGAGGACTAGCAGCATTTAGTGCTGGTTAATCTTGAACTGAAGAATAGAAAGGAAAAGGATCTCCATGATAGCCCAGTGTCCTTGGGTATCAAGAATCCCTAGAGCAAAGGGACCATTCTCTTAAATTCAGTTTATTAGCTACACCAGGGGTGTGCAACCTTGACAGCTTTAAGACTTGTGGACTTCCGCTCCCAGAATTCCTAAGTATTATTCCTAATAATAATAATACTCAGCAGTCAGTTAAATGCAAGAAAACCTGCTGGATAAAATAACTCTTTTTGACCTTGCCCATTAGCCTCTTAAGAAGTCGTGCACAACTTGGTTTAATCAATGCAAGATGGATTCTTCCAAGCTGATGCATTAAATCTATTTTGCAAGCGAGATGTATATATTTCTAACAAATGCTCATACATATTCTCTTTGTCATTTTTCCAGGCATATTTCAATGTTTAATTCCGTGTTAAGTCAAACGGGCTTGATTTCATATGTTTTCATATATGACTAGATTTTTGCGATTCCCAGAGCTGTATATTGGCGAGAAAACTCCTGTTGTTGGAATGTGTAAAACTACAATCAAACAACTAGGCCTCCCTTAGGCATGAAAGCCAGTGAAAAGGCAGTCCAACATGGTTCTCTGTCTTCCTTCTTCACGAGATGCTGAATCAAAACTTTCTTGTCTCGTTCTTGGGTTCCTTGTTGCTGTCTGCTGTGTGTATTTAAAACCGGGGTCCCCAAACCTGGCAACTTTAAGACTTGTGAACTTCAACTCCCAGAATTCCTCAGCCAGCCATGCTGGCTGAGGAATTCTGGGAGTTGAAGTTCACAAGTCTTAAAGTTGCCAAGTTTGCAGACCCCTGGTTTAAAAAATAAACTGGCTCTTTCCTTTTTTTCAAAAATGTGATGCAGCTGTGTTTTCTGCCTCCCCTGTTGCCACCCCACCCCTTTTCCAGAGGTGGATCTCTTCAGCCCAGGCCGAATTTCGGAGAAGGTCCTGTTGCATCTGTTGCAGCACCCCAGTGTCAACCAGGAAGTGAAGTTTGACGACTGCGATCGCTTGGCCGCTGAGCATTACTTGTATCAGCGCAACCAGCCAGTCAATTACTTTGTCCTCATCCTGCAGGTACTCTATGTCTAGGGTGCGCACAGGGAAGACCTGGAGGGAGGGTGAAGGCCCTGGTTCAAGAATCAGGTTGGAGGCTAAAGCAACTTCTGAGAAACAAGGCAAAACTCTGGCAAACAACGCAACAAGGCTGCTGGGGCAGACCGTGGCCTCCAGGTCCAGCCTAGGAGGAGCAGACTGCCTCGTGAGGGGAGGCGTACGTCCGATAGATCATTGTCACCGATGGGCTAGTGGTCCTGCATTGAGCAGGGAGTTGGACTAGATGACCTTCTTGCCCTATCAGAATGCTTGAAGGCTGGCGGGCTGGCAATTCTGGAACCAACGGCTGGTTCTTTCTCCTGTCCTGGCCACTTTTTACAGAGGCAGGATTGAGAGCGTTTTAACAAGCTGCAACACTGTCCGGTTTGGTGGTAGCAGAGCCCAAGATAGAAGGTCCATTCAGAGAGTGGTGAGGACAGCTGAGAAGACTATAGGAAGCTCGCTTCCCGTGATTCAGGATACTGCTTATAAGCGCTTATATGTGCTTAGAGCTTGAAGCATGGATAGAGATCCCACACAGCCACTTCACGGTCTGTTTCTGTTGCTCCCCTCTGGGAGGAGGTTTTGAAGTATTTATAACAGTACTCCTGTAACAGCTTTGCTCCTTGTGCCATCTGCCTTGTAAATTCGCCGGATCCTTTTTTTGGCGCCATGTATATGTATACATCCGAACTAGACTGCGATGTTTCTCTGTGTCATATATATATGTGTGTGTGCATACGGGTGTATACATAATGGTTATTCTTTGAGAGCTGAATACAGTGTAATGACATTTTTAATGTGTACATTTAAAGTGACAAAGTTTTTATTCTATTCTCCTCAAGAGGCTCTTCTTATCTTGTCTGGAGAGAGACTGTGCAACCCTTATCAATTTGGAAATATTAAAGAATACTTTGAACTTGTACAGGTAGTCCTCGACTTACAACAGTTTGTTTAGAGACCGTTCAAAGTTACAGCGGCACTGGGAAATGTGACTTAGGACCGTTTTTCATACTAATGACCTTTGCAGCATCTTTAACGGTCATGTGATCAAAATTCAACTGCAACTCATATTTATGACTGTTGCAGTGTCTTGGGGTCACGTGATCCCCTTTTGGGAAAACCTGATTCACTTAACAACCAGATTACTAACCTATCAACTGCAGTGATTCACTTAACAACTGTGGTAAGAAAAGTCACAAAATGGGGCAAAAAAAACCAACAAATGTCTCACTTAACAACAGAAAATTGGGGCTCAATTGTGGCTGTAAGTTGAGGATCTGTAGGGTAGGGATCTAGCAACTTTAAGACTTATGGACTTCAACTCCCAGAATTCTCCAGCCAGCCATATTGGAAGGCAGCATGGAGAGAGTATGTTGGGGGGGGGGGAGGAATGCACCACTGTATTTAATAGGGAGGCACGGAACTGATCACTTTCAATCCTATGCAACTGGAAGACTTTCAGTAGCACTTAGTAGGTCCCCGTAGTTTCCAAGACGAATATTGCTCCATGGTTAAATGAAAGGGGCGCCTTCTGCGGCCTCCCTTCTTACCCTGGAATTCAAAATGGTCTGGTCCATTGTGCCATTTCCCTGCATCCCCTTTCTGATGCATCAGCAGAACCCAGCACAGGACTCTCCCATCTCCTGAGTCAAAAGCCTGGGATGCTAGCTCTGGTTCTTCAGGCACTCCATCCAGGAGGGAAAAAGCAATTCCTCTGGGCTGGGATGAGTAGTGAGTCCTAATGCCAGCTGATAATGGAAAAGGGAAAGAGGTGAGACGCCAGGCCCAAGAGGAGGCTGAATTAGGAGGAGGAGGAGATGGAGATGGAGATGATGGAGATGGAGATGATTGTGTGCCCTGCCTCCAGAGTGGGCTCTAGAGACTCGCTATTGGATCCTTTGCCTGCCCCAAGGAAACCACTCTAGTCAGATTACACACATTTAAATGATAAAAACAGCAATACACTGAAGTTGTAACACTGAAGGCGGGACTGCCAATGCAGCACACCTCAGGTTGAAAGCGCAGAGAAGCAAAACTTTAAAGAGGTAAAAGTCAAGAGGGTGAGAACTTGACAGTCGACCTATGGGGTATGGGGAGAATCCCAAAATGGGGGCCTACACAGAGAAGATCTGTGGCCCTGTCCGTGTCCCCCTCCCTCATTTTGACAGGGGATGCTGCAGTGGTCGTAAGTGTGAAAAATAGTCACAAATGCCGTTGTAACTTTTGACTAAACCAAGGGTCTTCAAACTTGGCAACTTTAAGACTCTTGGACTTCAACTCCCAGAATTCCTCAGCCAGCATGGCTGGCTGAGGAATTCTGGGAGTTGAAGTCCACAAAGTTGCCAAGTTTGAAGACCCCTGGACTAAACAAATGGTTGGAAGCGCAGGACTATCTGTATTTTTTATAAACGTGACTGTTTTAACTAAGCCTACAGATTGTACCTAAAACAGAACAAGAGCAGTGATTTAAAAGGCAACCATCGTTGGCTCTAAAGAAAAATGGGTCTTGCTATTTGAAAAAAAAAGCAGATGAATTGATGCTATGGGGCAGGGTGTTTGGGGTGACCCCTAATCAGTGAAAGGAAGAATTAAGGGGAAAAAAAACCTTTTATAGAAGAAGTGAAGAGAGCAACCCAAATCCAGGCTCTAATTGGATTTGGGAATCTTAGGCATTCATTTTATTCCTTCTCCACCCAGCCAGAAGTTCCTCTGCTTATTTTGCCTTTTTCCTTCTCTGCCAGGGCAGGGTTGAAGTCGAGATTGGGAAGGAAGGGCTGAAGTTTGAAAATGGCGCCTTCACCTATTATGGCGTCTCAGCACTTACCGCTCCTTCTTCAGGTGAGTTCCTGTGCTCAGTTTAGAGCTGAGCGGCCCCTTCGGAGGTGGGGATTCACCCCAGAGGCCTTACTGCCAGCTAACTCTTAACGCCCCGCTGTGGGGGATCGGTAAGTGGACCCTCAAATGTGTATTTGTTCAGCCTTTTAAAGCAGAGGTCAGAAGCTGTTCAATTCCTATTTGTGTGGTTTTGCTCATGTGAAGGTTGCCACAGTTTTAATTCCTGTCTTCCCAGTATTAACCTAGACCCGGAGTAGGCCACCTTGGCCCTTTTATGACTCGTGGACTTCAACTCCCAGAATTCCTGAGCCAGCCACGCTGAGGGGGAAAGGGAGAGGTTTCCAAGCTGAGCCATGCTGGCTCAGGAATTCTGGGAGTTGAAGTCCACAAGTCATAAAAGAGCCAAGGTTGCCTACCCCTGGCCTAAGTCCTCCTGTTCTAAGCGATTAGCCTCCTAGTCCAGGGGTAGACAACCTTGGCTCTTTTATGACTCGTGGACTTCAACTCCCAGAATTCCCGAGCCAGTCATGCTGAGGAGAATAGGAGAGATTTCCAAGCTGAGCCATGCTGTAGTAACTTTCAGCCAAGGCAACAAATCCGTTCAGAACCATGTGCTGTCTTCACGAGAACTAGAAACCTGATTTTGTTTTTTTTTAAAAATAAAATTCGTGGCTTCACTTATCTTATTTCCAAGCCTCCCTCAGTGTCGCTTTTTCCTTTCGACAGTCCATCAGTCCCCGGTGTCCACTCTGCGGATGAATCGCCGTGAACAGCAGGTTGACTGCCCAGAGCCCACCAATTATTCGGCATACTGCCCCGATTACACCGTCCGGGCCCTCACCGATCTGCAGTTCATCAAGGTAAGCACTGACCCCCAGGGATTTGCCAGGCAGAGGGCGTGGGGCGACGGCAGGATCTAAGTTGGCGTAAGCCAGTGAGCACGGGTAGTCTTCAGCTTACTTGCAAGCGTTTGTTTCGCGATCCTTCGAAGTCAACAACGGCACTGAAAAAGTGACGTAGGACCGTTTTTCACGCTGACGACAACTTCTCCCCCGCGGCGGCGTCTTTGCAGGTCACCCGCTTGCAGTACCTCAACGCTCTGATGGCCTCAAGGATACAGAACTCGCCCCAGTCCCCGGAGGCCGTGGATCTGAAAATCATCCCCAGCAGCCAGACGAAGCTCCTCAATGACAAAAACGCGGCAGCAGGTGGGCCCTTTCACCTCTGGGGCCAGCGGTTGGGACCCTCCTCCCCTGATTTCACGCCCGTTTGGCTCTTGGCGGCCCCTCCAGCTGACCGCAGAAGCCTTGGCCCCCAAGAGCTGGCAGCCTCCTCCGGCACCGAAGACGGAAGCGAGGAAGGGAAATCCAAGGGCTGGTGGGCACCTTAACGATAGACCGTGGAGGGAAGGGGCTGCCTGGATCGCTCTGCAGGGGAAAGGTGGCTGTGAGGGGAAGGAGAACGAGCTTTGGGGAGCTAGAGGGCGTCCGGAGAAGGTGATGGGGCAGGAGGAGTGGATAATGCCCAGGTGGGGCAGCTCACATCCCGGCACTTGGTGGGGTGCCCCGCGTGGCTTCCGAAGAGCCTCTATCCTTGGAGCTCTTGGCCCGGGCAAAGCCGTTCTCCAAAAGTCTCTCTTGTTCTCTTTTCTGTGCCTCTGCTTCCAGGAGCCTAAACGCTCTTCCTCCTGTTTCTGTTTCTTCCTTCTTCCTTCCAGCCTTCCCGCTAAATCTCTCTTTCTTTGGCAAAATTGAAAACTGCATTTAACACAGGCCTCTCTGCCATAGCCTGGAGCCCCTTTCTTTTTTTTTTTAAACCACAAGGTAAATATCTTCAGATTTTCTTCTTTTGTTTCCTCCTCCTCCCTCCCTCCCCTCTCCTGCCTTGGTACTCTCCTTTTGGACAGTCAGGGGCCAACTCCGCGCAATGTTTCTACTCCTCAGGGAAGATTTCAAGCACTCTGGCTGGGCTGGGGGAAACCAAGATGGCATTTTCAGGGATTGCTGCTACCCCTGGATGTACATCATGCCAGGAGGGCCCTGGGCCAATTACCAAGTGGCTGGGGGATTCTTCAAGCTGCCAAGGTCCCCCCCCAAAAAAATACTGGTCTGGACCTTACGGAGATGAACATGAGTGGGAAAATGCGCAAAGAGGGGAAGTTTCCCTGTACGGTGGGATCAGCCGAGGTCCCTGTCCACCAGCAGTCCCTAAATCAAGCACGTAAAGCAGGGGTAGTCAACCTTGGCTCTTTTATGACTCGTGGACTTCAACTCCCAGAATTCCTGAGCCAGCTAAGCTGGCTCAGGAATTCTGGGAATTGAATTCCACGAGTCATAAAAGAGCCAAGGTTGACTACCCCTGATGTAAAGCTTCGTAGGATAGATCGAATGTCCATTAATGGTAAGGAAGAGACAGTGTTTATTTGTCTTATCAATTTCAGGGCCCCACAACATAACCCGTCAAGTAGGCCGGCTGTATTCATTCCCCCTTGCAAGTGGAAGGCTGGCCTTTCAAAAGCGCGCTCTGTCTAAGACACTGGTGGTGAACCTATGGCACGCGTGCCAGTGGTGGTGAACCTATGGCACGTGTGCCAGAGGCGCCACTCGGAGCCCTCCCTGTGGGCACACAGGCCATGCCCTGGAGATGGCAGCCATCCCTCTTCAACCAGCCGCCCGCTAACTCGCCCAGGTCCCACATGGCCAGATGCATCCCAGCACCCATGCGCTCGCTGGCTTCTGTGTGCAGAGGTTGATGGTGTCTGGCAGCAGCCGCCCTGGCCCTTGCCACACCTTGCCCTGGGGCAATGGCACCCCCGTCCTGCCTCGCCTTGCCTCACCTCACCCCGCAGGACGAGCCTCCTGCCCACCGCCCCACCTGCCAGAGACCCCCTGGATCTCCCCCAACCCTGCCCGGCCCCCACAGGCATCCCTCCCCACGAGCAACATCGAGGAGATCACGCCCACCTTGGCCACACCCATCCAATCTGCCATGACCACCACAGCCACGTCCACCCAGTGGGCCACGCCCACCTGGCACCCGGCGATAAATAAGTGGGTTTTGGGTTGCAGTTTGGGCACTCGGTCTCTAAAAGGTTCGCCATCCCTGGTCTTAAGAGATTGGGTTGAGCTGAGATTTCCCCCAAACAATTTTTAGGGGGGGGGGAATTGTTTTGCAGCTTGCAACGTCTGCCTTTCCCGGTCAGAAAGGTTCCCCTCCCTTAGATTATCCTGTTTTGCTGCCGTTGTGCCGTTAAACGTTTCATGGCTGCTCCTTGTCTCCGTGTTCCAGGGAAAAGCCAAAGCAAGTTCACTCTCCAGGAAGAGACAAGCCAGAGCACGGGGGTTTGACTTCCACACGGGACGCTAGGGCTGCAGGTGGGCGAGCCCAGGAGGGCCCCCCCTCCCTTAAAACCTTCAGCGCTTCTCCTGGCTCCTGCCCGGGTTTCAGACGGACTTCTCGTTGGGCCACCGGCGTTTCCAAAAAGACGCTTCCTAAGCCGGGAGGAGCCTGGCCCTCTCGGGGTAGGGGATCTGGCTGGACCAAAACACCAGCGGCTTCCACTGCTCCGGCTGGGCTACTACGCGTAAGACATTTGTAAGCAGCGCTTGATTGCGGAGGGTTGGTGGGCCCGGGCAAAATGTGTTCGTGGCGGAGAGCAGCGGCCAGCAAATACAGACTCGACTCTTTGGACGGCTGTGGTGCAAATGGACGGGCAGGGAGAGGGGGGGCAGTTGCCAGGCCCTTCCTGCTCCTTGCCTTCTCAGCGTCTCTGCTTCCACTTTCCCGCCGTGCGGATCTCTCGGGGGGGTCCCTGGCGCACGTCCCCTAAAAGCACTTCCACTTGCCAGATTTTGCAGCAACGGCCTCAACGTTCGCTTGTGCCACCTGTCGTTGGCTGCAGGCCCCCCAATCTCGGCTCTGGGGCCCGAGCCCGCAGGCCTGCCGCCTTGCCTGGTTCCGATGCCCTGCCTTGCTGACCTGGGTTGCAAGCCGTGGTTCTTGGGGAACCCCCCCCCCAAGCTCACCCGAGTGCCTGCGCCAGGCCCAGCACCCCACCCACCGTCCCTGCCCAAACAGTGCCAAAGACCAGCTCTGGGAATCCTGCACCTCTCTTCTGCCTCGTGGCACCGGGCTTGCCAGCTTCCTGTTTGCCCTTGGATCAGCTCCCCTGGACCAAGCGGGGATTTCTCCCGAGGGACTTCTGCTGCCGAGGAGGGGCAGACAGCTCCTGGGCCCCCAGCCTGTTCTCTCCCCCGCGGCTGCTGTCCTTGAAACGTGGAAGCCCCCCACCCCGCTTTTTCTGGGGCTGCCCCTTTTACCTGCTTGGGAAGAACAGCGGGTCTCCGGTTTTTCCCTGGATGATCTTCCGTCGTGGATTTCCACTCCCGAGCTCTCGCTGGCAATTCCATTTTTTTCCCCCCTCGGGCGAGGGAAGCTCTCCACTCCAGCTTTGGCAGAGAGACTTTCCCACCTCTCATTGCTGTACACAGTATTTTTCCCCCCCTCCCTCTGGGACATGCCCACCCCCAAATCTTATTTTTTAAAGTCAATAAAGAAACCGCGGGTTCAGGGCGAATCCCCTTCCCTTTCTCAGCCTCTCCCTTTTCACAGCCAACAGCAGAACGTGTCCGAACGGTTGCGTGTTCAGTTTGGGTAATAATTTGTTTGTCACCTGCCCACCAGCTGTGTCTTCCAGGGGGATTATCTATCCCAGGGGTCCCCAACCTTGGCAACTTTAAGACTTGTGGACTTCAACTCCCGGCTGGGGAATTCTGGGAGTTGAAATCCACAAGTCTTAAAGGTGCCAAGGTTGAGGACCCCTGAATCTATCCTTATGCATCCGTATATAAGTTACTGATGATGGTAGAAGAAGCCTGCATCTTTTCTCTCTCTCTCTCCTAGTTGAGGGGAGTATCGTCATGATTCAGGGTCAGGGATTAAAAACGGGATGGGGTTAAACCCCCCCCCCTTCCCCACTTTTTTCCTAGGAAGCATATCATGCTGGAGAGATGCACTGCTTTTTTTTTTTTTCCCCCCACCCACAAGAACACCTAGGGATGAAAGTCTGATTTGGGCACGCCTGTCCTTTGGCGGAGATGTGCTTTTTTTTTTTGCCAGTCTGCCACGGTGAGACCTTGGGTTTGTATTCAGGATTAGACCCAGTTAATCTGTAAGACAGGAGGAGGAGGAGGAGAAGCTGGTGGCTCCTTACACACCAGAGGGAATAGTTCTCTCATTCCTTATCATCCTTTGAGGTACTGCCGGGCAGATAATAATAATAATAATAATAATAATAATAGTAGTAGTAGTAGTAGTAGTAATAATAATAATAATAAAGTTGGAAGGGACCTTGGAGGCCATCTAGTCCAACCCCCTGCTCAGGCAGGAAACCCTATACCATTTCGGACAAATGGCTGTCCAGTCTCTTCTTAAAAACTTCCAGTGTTGGAGCATTCACCGCTTCTGGAGGCAGGTTGTTCCACTGGTTAATTGTTCTAACCGTCAGGAAGTTTCTCCTCAGTTCTAGGTTGCTTCTCTCCTTGCTTAGTTTCCATCCGTTGCTTCTTGTCCTGCCTTCAGGCGCCTTGGAGAATAGCTTGACTCCCTCTTCTTTGGGGCAGCCCCTGAGATACTGGAACACTGCTGTTGTCTCTTGGTCTGCAGTCACACGCAGGCGAAGCCCGGTCCACTCAAGATCTAGCTGATGCATTGGCACAACGTGCTAAACTAGGTTAATGTTAACCTTGGCTTTTTTTGCAGTTTAGCACGTGGGGCGAACCCAGCGTGTTTTTCGGATTGGTGTATTGGGGGGGTTTCAGAAAATGGGTTCCTCTAGTAACCAGGCTGAGCAGATCTTTATTCTGCCTTCCTAGAAAAGCAGATTCCTCCTTTTCCTTGGCACCATTAGAACAACTAGCATCTCCTTCCTAATTCTGCTGGCTGGCATGCAAGTTCTTTCAGGAAACGTGTCTGAGATGATTTCAAGAAGGCAACCATGGTGAATGCTTGCCAGAGTGCCTGGGGAGAAATAGCAGGGCCCCGCAGGTAGAAAGCTAGCACAGCAAAGACTGGGCTGGGCTGGAACCTCCCTCACTGATACACTAGCCCAGGGGTAGGCAACCTTGGCTCTTTTATGACTCGTGGACTTCAACTCCCAGAATTCCTGAGCCAGCATGAGGGAAACTTTGGCCTCTTCATGACTCGTGGACTTCAATTCCCAGAATTCCTGAGCCAGCATGAGGGAAACTTTGGCCCCTTCATGACTCGTGGACTTCAACTCCCAGAATTCCTGAGCCAGCATGAGGGAAACTTTGGCCTCTTCATGACTCGTGGACTTCAACTCCCAGAATTCCTGAGCCAGCATGAGGGAAACTTTGGCCCCTTCATGACTCGTGGACTTCAATTCCCAGAATTCCTGAGCCAGCATGAGGAAAACTTTGTCCCCTTCATGACTCGTGGACTTCAACTCCCAGAATTCCTGAGCCAGCATGAGGGAAACTTTGGCCCCTTCATGACTCATGGACTTCAATTCCCAGAATTCCTGAGCCAGCATGAGGAAAACTTTGTCCCCTTCATGACTCGTGGACTTCAACTCCCAGAATTCCTGAGCCAGCATGGGGGAACTATGGCCCCCTCATGACTCGTGGACTCCAACTCCCAGAATGCCTGAGCCAGCATGGGGGAACTATGGTCCCCTCACGACTCGTGGACTTCAACTCCCAGAATTCCTGAGCCAGCATGGCTCAGCTTGGAAACCTCTCCCTTTCCCCTCAACATGGCTGGCTCAGGAATTCTGGGAGTTGAAGTCCACCAGTCATAAAAGAGCCAAGGTTGACTACCCCTGAACTAGCATTTTGTTGCCAGGAACTTTGGACCGGAGGACTCTTGCAATCTATGCATAGGGTGGTGACTTGGAGGGGGGTTTCTTTTGCACAGAAATTGGGGCCTTGAATCTCTGTTCAACGGGTGTAAATAAATTTTCCTTTCAAGGTAAGTCACGGTCCAGCCTAGAAAAGACTAACCCATTTCAAGACCGACCTTTTGTTACACAGCCACGCTTGCTCTCAACTCCCCATCTTTCAAGACACAAAAATACTTTTTTATTATTTACAAAAGAAAAAAAATCACATCACAGCAGCACTGCCCTCACAGAGTTTTGAGGGACAGAAGTCTTAGCAATGTACAGTTCGACTCCTAAGTGGAATTTCTTTCTGGAAACCCCCCCCCCCCCATCCCCAGTCTTGCCCACGCAACCCCTCCATTCGCGGTGAGGGGTGTTGCGGTGGGCATGGATGGAGGGGCCAGTCCTGAGAGGATACCGAAGACCAAAGACCACTGCCAAGCAACCTCAAAGCCAGGGAGGTGGCTAAGACTGATGGATTGCCTGTGCAGGGTGGCCTGGTATGACTTAAGACCAGGGCTGGGGAACTGTGGCCCCTTTATCCGGGGCTTCAACTCCCAGAATTCCTTGGAGTTGTCACACTAGCTCAGGAATTCTGGGAGTTGAAATCCATTGATCATAAAGGGGCTACAGTTCCCCCCTCCCTGACTTAGCCAAAAGGACTACAGTATCATTTACGACACCTTTGGGGTCACAATCGATGCAAAGAAGTGAAGTTGGCACTGAAAAATTCAAGTAATCGTCTTCAGCCGCCCTTTCTCTGGAAAAGAGAGACGGGAAGGGCGGGAATAAGTAAATAAATAATCGCCAGAGCCGGTATAGGGTACGAGTCCCGTTCCGGAGTAAGAGAGAGAGCAAGGCTGGCTTCATGGATGCCCCTCCCGGCTCTGGGGTACGTTCGTTGAAGGCAGACCTTGAAGTCATGAGTAAGGTAGACGTCAGTAGGGGGAACCCAGTCCCCCAAGCGAAGGAGTTACTAGAGGGAGGGGGTGCCTGCTTGGCATGTGTCCCGCACCCCCACCCCCTGGAATAATCCATCACAGAGCTTGCAAAAGGATGGCCGGCCGGCCCTGTGCAAACTCTGCGCTGTTGGCCATATTTGGCCTCTTCTTTCATTGAAGGACATTGAATTGTTGGGAGGAGCCGGTGCTGTTTGAGGAGAACAGTTTTATCTATCCAGCAGCACCAAGTTTGTCCTCTTTAATGTACCAAGGAGTGAAGGGGGGGGGAGGACACCCAGACACCAGATCAGCAGTGGCTGGAAATGGTGACACAAGGGAACAGCCGCTGGCAGCTTTGCCAACTGGAGAGGTGGGCCAAAAAAGGCAAGGGGGTACACTTATATCACCTGCTTCACCAGGAGACGTTGACTCGTTCCAGAGAAGAGCTTCATCTTTTGGGGTAACAAGCTCAAAAGAGGATTTCAATCTGGCCTCCCACCAGGGGCCTGAGGAACTCCCCACCTCTGGAAGAAAGCTTGCCAGCCCTCAACCCCAGCGTCGGGGAGGGCTGTGACCAGAAGCCCCTTCCAGGGGAGCTGTGGCCCAGATCCCACCAATATACGTGGCAGGTTGGAAGCGAGGCCAGATGCTTCCTCTAAAACACGGGACTTGCTTCTCCGCAGATCCAGGGAGTAGCTGGACTACCGTAGTGGCATTGTCCCTTGGAACTGAGCCAGCTGTGGGACTCGGCTCTCTGCCATTCACAGTCCCCTAAACATCTGCCTCCCTAACTGGTAGATGCTCGGATCAGGCCTGTTTTGCCCATCTGGAGTTGGCAGGGGAGCCTCACGGCTTTGGCCTTTCTCCTTGCAGCCCCCTGGCTTCCGGGGTGCTTAAGCCCACGGGACTTTGGAGGCCGGAAGGCAGAGCTTCCCTCTGGAGACTTAGGCCCCACCAGGCTGCCCTCTGCTGGTAGCCAGGAGGAATGCAAGGGTGCCAAGGTTGTCCCCTGCCCAGATTTGCTGCATGCACAAAAAAAGTCTCCCTCTCAAGAGACAAAAGTTGCAGGAGGTTCCAGAGCCCAGACAGCTGCCCCACATCAGCTGGGGATGCAAGAAACCTCCCCCCACTATTTTTGTTGTTGTTCTCTCCGCGCCAGGGTTGAAGAGGAAAGGCTAATCTGCCCAGTTTGGTGCAAAATAGGGACGAGGATGGTGAGTTGGTCACAGGGTGGTGAAGGAAGGGGGAGAGTCAACACCCCATTACCCAAGATACCCCCCCCCCCACACACACACACGCTCAGCAGCTCCTGGCTAGGCCTTGCTGCCGGTTGGCGCACACTTGCAGCGTCTCCCGGATCCCTGTCTGCCAGTCCTTCACCAGGTCTACTGGGGTGACCGTCGCCTGCCAAGACACAAGAGTGGCTCATAATTAGAAGCAAAGTAGAGCCTCCCCCCCAAAAAAAACCCTAACCCCCATTGGCCACAGAAGCCACAAAGCTCTTTCTCTTATCTGTGGAGATTCTCAGTTATCCAGGTCTAGCGAAATGTCTTCAGGGAAAAACAAAAGTCCAGGGGCCTTTTGAAAAAGCCCCTTTGGCGACTTGCTTTCTCTTATTCAACAGCATGCTAGTCCTCATGAGGAAGAGGTAACCTGTACCTGGCCTACGTGAGCACTCCCAACTCCTTTTGCTGCCTCAACTCACTGATCATCCATCCAGCATTTTTCATTATGCTCAGAGAACATAAAGCTATAAAAGAACCCAGCAAATATTCTCACTAAACTGAAGGGCAGCTACAGAACAGTTTCATCCATTTTTCTTTCACTTTTCACTTTTGTACTAACTCTTGATTTAAAAAAAAAAAGCATTATATGACAGAGGTATGTTTAAACCTGACTTCTTTTGCTATCTGTGACGGTTCCAGCCACTGAAAGACCTTTTAGAGAATTGTCCCACAACGAGGAATGGTTAAGAGGTTAAATTAGGGATGTCCAACCTTGGCAACTTTAGGAACTGTGGACCTCAACCCCCAGGTCTTCCTAAAGTTGCCAAGGTTGGACCTCTCTGGATTAAATTATGCATATGAATAGAGGCACTAAAGCGCCAGGTCAACTCACATTCTTCCAGATACTTCCAAAAAGTATCTCTGTCCCCACTTAAGATGCTACATTAGCAATGGAGCACCCTACCACCCTCCGGAGTTTTTTGCTCACCTCATTCTGGATGCTAAGTTTTGCTCCATACATCAGCAGGGTCTTGACCGCCTTGAATCGTCCTAGCCTGACTGCATCGTGAATGGGCGTATCTCCTTCCTGGCCAGGGAAAGAGACAATGTCTGCGCTCATACAACACACTTAACTTGGGTTATGGATTAACTCATTATCTGGCCTCGCACACCACTTTGGACTAACCCGGGGTAGACAACCTTGGCTCATTTTATGACTCGTGGACTTCAACTCCAGGAATTCCTGAGTCAGCATGGCTGGTTCAGGAATTCTGGGTGTTGAAGTCCACAAGTCATAAAAAAGCCAAGATTGCCTACCCCTGGAGCAACCAAACAGACTGGGTTTGGGTTTGCATTTCAGGTTGAGTCACCAAAAACGAGTCTAAGGTAACCAAGCTTAATGTGCAGTCCAAGTGCATCTACTGCAGGGGTGTCCAATCTTGGCAGCTTTTAAGACTTGTGGACTTAAGCTTCTTAAAGGTGCCAAGATTGGACACCGCTGATCGACTGGGTCTTTAGTGGCTTGATGAAGCTTATTTTGTAGACGCAGCCAATGAAAGAGTGCGTGAAGTCCTCTCCATCTTGCTCCTGCTTCTAAGATGGAAAGGGGCTACTGGAAACTTTCAGCATTTCAGTCAGCAAAAGACCCCTGTCC